CCCCAAAACCCCAAAACCCCAAAACCCCAAAACCCCTTTCTTGTTCAAAATAATTGTAAATAATATAATTATGGTCACAATAGACAAGAAGAAAGTAGACGTAACAGTCAAGGATCTCTACAATAGGTTCAAGTTCCTTGGGAACCAGCAGACTATCAATGATAGCTTCTTTACTTACACAGAAGATAGCCATGTAGTTCCTGAAGATCCTTCAGGCAGAGATGGACCTCATTCAGCTCATAAAGTAGAAAAGAGACGGGTTCTTGGCAAGAGCAGAATTTCTCAGTTCAGAAATTTGCCCACTTATAAGCTAAAATTCACTCACATTGATGCGAATGTCAGAAAATAGCCCGATTGTTCCTAAAGTTGACAAAAACCTGGCATCAAATATCTATAGAGTTCTGTGATACAGCATGCAATATGGGAATGATAATGATCCATATAGAGCGTACTTAGACCTGAAAAACCACCGAGTTAAGACATTCATCACCTTAATCGAGGCAAGAAGTCTCATTAACATTGTTGAAAAGGCGATGAAATGATACCAAGAAACCGCAGTAGGATTTGATTCAAGCATAAAAGTAGTATCAATCTTTGATTACAAGGTCTATTTCATCCAAGAGAACAGCCAATGCATGATGATCTTCGGCAAGTTCAAGCACTGTGGAGTTAATTACAGAAAATCTGACCCAGACTTGATATTCAGAAAGAACGAAGTTCTTGGTGACCAAGAACTTAAATGGAGTATGATCGTCATTTTCAATAATTTGAAAGCATTATTCAAAGCTTCGAACAATATTTCAAAAGATCATATACAAGAGGTGGGATCAATGAGCCAGCAAGAAAAGGTTAGCGTAACAGGTAAGTCTTGCTTAAATTTCCCTGTAACCATACAATAGATTTCTTAATTCCATCAGATGGTGACTCAGAGAGCAGCGAGAGTGAAGAATACAGTGAATCATTGGAGGAGGACGATGCTGATAAGGTTAAAGATGTACGGTACTCAAAGTTACTTCATATGTTCAGGTATAATTCAGAAAAGTGAGTTTTAGGTATTTAAAATAACTTGAACCCCAACTTGCTGCATTCAAATTCCTTAGCAATGACGAACAAGTTCACGGATCTTTTAAAGGAATGAGTCGAAATTCAACTCTTAAAGTTTTTACCTTCCCAGTATTTTTTGGTGATAGGAAATATGAAGAGAATAAAGATCGTCTATAAGCACGCATTTAGAGATCAGAGTAAAGAAGATGATTATACTGATCTTTCTCAAAACTTGTTTTTCTTGGAATTGCTGAACCACCAAATCCATAAATACTTCATGAGGTAAGTAAACTTTTACACGTTATTACATCCCAAAAAATCGATGTTCCTAAAGCAAAAAATCATCAGAAAAGTTCATAAGATTGCTTTTAAACAAATTAAATTTCGAAAATTTCTCTAATTATATCAAATTTTATTCTATTTGGATTTTTGCGGATGTTCACCATTTCATCTTCCATTTACGAAACTGTAAAATTATCCTCCATAAAATATCCTAACTCTCTTCTAGAGTAAAAGCTAAACAAAGTAGGACGAATGGTGAAGGATCCATGAATGCATACATAAAATCCACTGCAAACTCAGGTACTAAATCTAAGATGAATGGGCAAATATACTCATCCAACAATGAAGAACACAAATACATTGACGAAGATACCCAAATTGTTGACTTAATCAAAGAGAACTCTGACGCATTCGAGTACATGATTCCTGGATACCTCATCAGAATCTCCAGAATAGACGGCATCTCTAAAATGTCTCATAATGATAGATATTACTCAGTCATGATCTTCCAAAGATACATCAGAAGAAGGAGACTGTCGAAAAAGGAAAAAGAAACTGATAAGAATGACAGATATGTCAATAGTTATGGTGTCCTTCCTGCAGCAAATCTTCAAGAGAGACAGATCATTTGCAATTCTTTCTCCCAATTTGTAAGAAATAATCTTGTTGTTGATAGTAAGACCTTTGTCCAAAGCGCAATGACTCCGTCAACGAGGAAGAAAATTCTCAGTGAGACTAAGAATAGAAGACTGAGCCTTAATGATAAAAAGACTAATGTGCTTCTCCAGTCCTATATCCAATCTAAAGAGATCAAAAGGTATAGAAACATCAAGAAGAACCCTTTAAGGATAAGTAACCATATCAGAATTGCTGAATCTCCCTTTGATAAGAATGGAGAAATTGGTCCAGAGAGCATTCATCTGCAAATGCAGCTTAGCAATAACATTGGCCCTCTTGATTCTGGTGAAACTGGAAGCATTGATAGTGGAGGAACTGATAATATCTATCCAGAATTTTATTATGAAAGTGGCATAGGCAGTGGAATGTTTGATGATGTCCTTGACAAAGACCTAAATAATTACAAATCTACCTCAAAGACCATCAAAAGCATAAAAAAAATAGATAATGAAGGATTCTCCCAATTTTTCGATGAAGAATCAAGCATTGCTCCTTCCCAATACGACTCTGAAAGTCAAACTCCAAAGGAATTAAAGAGCCGAGGAGCCTTCAACTATCCCAGAAGAGACGTAATGGCACCTGATATTTCTGAGACAGGAAGTATTGCCAGCAATTTCTTCGGTATTTTTACCTTACTCACCTTCTAGCAGGACAAGAAAACTCAATAGTAAATCTTCAAGCACCTGAAAGAATGGCGGAGAGGCAAGATTGTAAGTAAACCCTAACTTTCGCTCCTCAAAATTATTTTTTAATCCCTTATGAAACCTATATAGCCCCTAACAATCTAAGGAATCCTTCACTACAATCACACCAAGATGCGGAGGCAGAGTCCTCTTCTGAATCAGTAGGCTCAGAGGAAAGTTCAAGCTACAAAACTGTGAAAAGCGAATCCTCCCTCATTGGAAAAGCTTAATTAAAATTAGTCTTAGTTGTTTTCAACATGAAGGAAGCTTAATGGGGTTTTGGGGTTTTGGGGTTTTGGGG